TCAACTTGCAAATGTCCAAATACCTGAAGCGCATTTTAACTTGTCTTCGACAATTTCTGTGTAAATGAGTGAGAAACTTCTGTAATTGTGGCAAATCAACATGAAGTTTTTCCTGTTACCGTCACTAGAAAATGCGAGCAATGCGAAGGGAAATTGTGTTTAAGGGATTCCTGCAAACACGAGTAGAAAGACAGCAATTACCCTTTCTAAATGTAGTGCTTTCCCGCTGATAGTAATGTGTCTAAGAATAAACTGAAACGGAGAGGCTGGCATTATCGGTTGATCTTACGACCTCCCACAACTACATTCCTTGCTGATAATGATCTCTTGTAAGGAAAGACACAGCACACTTCCGATCACACGTTTATTCATTCGCTGGTCTATGACGAAGTATACAAACATACGTGTTAAACATGAAATCACAAATCTTTTTACAAAAGGAAAAATTACATTAATGATGCTACTAAATACCTCCAGAAAAAGAGACGACATGCAATATACTGCTTTTCACAAAAGGTAAACATAGATGAATGCTTTCACATTTTCAATAACATAAAATTGTTGATAAATTTAACACAAATGTATGTATGGCACATTTACAGGTAGAATTTAGAAAAAAGGAAAATTTATAACATTTTATTTTTTAGAAGCAAAAAGTAATCACATTTTCATGCAAATGTTTGGAAATATTGCAAAATTAAGACAGAAAACTGTTTTATCAAAAACTTAATAAATAAATATATCGCTTGTGGCGTTGATCGCAAACAGCTAATCCATCTGCAGTTCTATCCAGCAGCAGAAAGGATGTCGAGTTACGTCGTTGTCAAGACCATCAGAATAGGGCTTTCCTAGACTCTGCGCCTTAGTATGTGGCTATGTAAAAAGCTGCTTGTAACGTAATTCAGTTCCCCTGACTCTAGGCTTGAAGCCGTGTTAATAAAATAAAACGCATTGTGTTAGAGTCACAGTTGTAATAATAATATATTATTATCATTATTCGCATATTTAAATTTGGCTTAAATAATTTTTCATTTTATTTTAATTGAAAGCAGCATATTTTTAGTACAATAAAGAAATGTTTATAATTATCATTACTGAACTTAGGAAAACAAGAGAACTCCAAACGGTAAAAATTATGAAGATTATTTTGAAGAAATCATAACTTGTTAAAACATAATTAGATTAGATCTTAAAAATAATTTAGTTTATATGTGCTGTATATTACAAGTAATACATATGAAGTCATATCAGCTGTGTTTAAACGTAAAGCTTAAAAATCTTTATGAGTATTGTTGTTTGGGCAGATTAAGGAGCATCAAAGTGAAACGAGGCAGATTTTCAAGCTCGGAAATTCATTTCAAAAAGGATATTAAATGAAATTAATAATTTGCATTAGTTATTCAAAATTTCAATTTAAAATCGATCACTGTGTTTCAAATACTTTTAGTATTAATACTTACATAATGAATAAAACACCTTAGAACAAAGACCTATAACAATATATATGCAAATAATCCAAAATAAGTATATTATCGCTGACCGAATAGGTTAGCAACTGAGCTTTGACATTTCATTTACTTCCTACTTCAGCAACCGAAGGAGCTGGATGGATGGGATTTCGAGTATTTTTTTCGAAATTTCACGTGAATAGTATGAAAGTATAATATAGTAGTTTTATGAAAGAATCTTTTGAAAACAAGACAGCCGCTGGGTGCTTTGACTCAACAAATAAAATAATGTAAAATGTATAATATAATATGTATAATATGATATGAGCAGAATAAAAATTTCATTTGCTTCATTAGAAGCAAAATTTATCCTAAAAACACTTTGTAAAATAGCAGATTTTAATTTTATATTCACCTATGACAAATGAAAAAAGACAGACGCAGTGAAAAGTCAAAATCTGTAAGACAATGTTCGGAATTTTTTGTCAAATTGACAAAATGATCTAATAAATGACAAACAGTAGTTCGATGTATCCAGTTGTTCTAGGCCTAGTAGCCGCTGAGTAGTTATTTCTGAAATCTAACATTTCTTTCCGGCTGTTAATTGACTTAATTTCATTTAATTTCTGTCATTTTTTTTCCACAAAAAGTAGTTGTAATTCTGTTTTTGCAATTTACTTGGGAACCAGTACCCCCTAGAAAGTCATTCGTTAAATAGCACTGGAGTGCTTTGTTTTAATATTTAATAACTCACCTACAATAATGAATCTATCCTGCTTCAACCAATGCTGCATACAGTGTTTATTCATTTTTTTTAGTTAATTAGTTAAGAGCAAAAAGGGATTAAGAACCCAAAGGGGTTATAAGAACATAGTTATTTTCACAGAAGACCTTTTAAGGGAAACTGACTCATATTCACTTGCTGCGCATTTTCATCTATGTTTGATGACATGATCCTGATTATTGATGACATTACTTGGTAAGATTATTTGATGATACGATTATTTCCGCTGTCGCAAAATAAGCGGTGCTTAAACACGAGTACATTTTCTCTGACGGTACTTTTTTTCCGGTGCATTCATTTACGCATTCTGCCTTTTTTAAGGTGAAAACTATTAGTTGCTATCTTTTGCAAGGGTAAAACAGAAGATATATTTATTTTAGGCGACGTATAAAGTCTCTGATTTCTTTTGAATCATCTGGCCCTTTATAAGATTATTAGCGCGTTGCACATTTTAATGTATTTAATTATGGCAAAGCACACTAGGGCTATCTGCCTAAGCGGGGATGCCTTCGTGGAGGACTTTCTAAGGGAAACTGGCTCCGAAAATTTTAATGAAAACTTGTTTTATTTTTGGTCAGAAAACTGTATCTCTTTCTTGTATTCAAAAGTAGAATGTAATGTTTTTCGTAACTGCATTCAAGAAGAAAGGCTTCTCATATATATAAACAAGAAAGAAATTGTTTTTTTTTTTCATTTCTGTGGATGTAAACAATTGTGAGCAGAAAATGTCTTTTATGCTGCTAAAATTATCCAAACAAGCAATAAAAAAGTGCAAAAGCTTTGAAAGTTTTTTTGTTATTTATATCGAATTAGTGCACCTAATATAGAAATTGCTTAAGTGCCTTATGATTCTGTTACATAATTTTTTTTGACTCATATGAAAGAATAAGATTCAGAAAGAGGAATATATACTAAAAGAAATGTTTAAGCAAAATAAAAATGCAAGAAACTGTTAACCAGTGTCATCTTGAAGTATTTTTTATTCTACAATGCTTATCAAATCAATTAAGAAAACAGACATACTTAAAGAAAGCTGCAAAGAAATACATCTTTACTCTTGTAGAATGTTTTATGAAGAATTTTAGCTGCAAGAAGTGCCATACAGTCAAAGACCACAATCTAATTATATAACAAATTACATTTCATGATACGGTTTTCTGATGAAGGAAATAATGAACACGTTTCAAATAAATATACAAGCTTGTTTTAATTAATTTTTAATCGTCAAAATAAGAAGCTTTATTAAATTTTATGAGCGTGTGTAAATTTCTTGTGAAGAAAATTTTAGAATTTTTAAATTCTCATTGTATAATTCTAATACTCGTTTAATTTTTGCAAAAAGCTGGAAGTTTCACTTTCATTTTATTAATAATTTATTACTAATCTTAATATACAAGCTAATTTATTTTCCAATCTTAATGCTTCATTCATCGTAACCAGAAAACTTAATATTGGGTTTCACTTCGTTACGGCATTTACATTTGTTGTTTTCTTCAGCATTAGTATATATCTCTAAGTTACAATTTACGTTTTATTATATTAATATATATCGAGAAACATTAGCAGATTTCATTCCTGTTTTAGAAACGCTTATTAATTAATTAACTTAAAGTAATTTCTTTATGTGTCTTTTAATACTATAAATTTTCCTCCTACTGACTGATTCCTCCCCTCCCCAGTTTATAGTTTTTATGTAATATAATAGTTTTCTTCCGATCTCTAAATTCATTTAACTCTAAGTTTACTTAATTTTCCCAGATTCAATTAAATACTGTAATTATGTTTTACATTTTTAATTTAAATTTTTCATTTAATAAATCTCTAATCAAGCATTGTAACTTTCTTCTTAATAATTCGCGACTGCATTTGACTGCTATATCAATTTAAATGAATCTTGTAAGATTAGAAAGAGAATTAGTTTAGTCTCGAGAATATAATATAGAAATTCTTCTTGAGAATATCTTCGTAAGGAAAACAATTATTAGTCAAATTTAGCGGCGCTGCTAAAAAAAGTCTAAAGAAAAAAATCAGGTTAATAAGGCTGTAGCATATTAAATTGAGCTTATGAGTTTATAAAGCAAAAAAAAAAAAAAAAAAAAAAATATGATTATGTTTTAAAAAGGAGTTAGTAACTTTTTTTCCCTAGCAGTTTGTCTGGTTACGAACAATACCCGAACTACAAAATACTTTCAGATTAATGATAATAATTAAAATACTTTAATTATTAGATTATTAGATTAATTAAATTTAAAAAAAATTCAGATGCAATACAAATCGAGTTACTTGATGTTTAGAGGAGTGAAAACAATGAAGTTTACAGAATCTGAATGATTTTTATTTACATATTAAAATGTTATGCCGCGCCAATTATTTCACGAAAGAATTCTAATTTGCTGACATATATTGTTAATCTGCCCACTTTAAGGTACTCTTGAATATTTCTAAAAAAGTATTAATACGTTTAAGCAATATTTCTAAATATAACATTTGAAATCAAATACTTAAAGTGTTTGAATTCGCAATAGTTTACTTACCAAAAAATATTACATACCCCAAGCTTCACATATTTTAAACTTGAATTTAACTATGTTCTTTAGTTATTTACAACAACGATTCTAATATTAAAACTGAATGAAAACTTAAATATTTTCAAGGAAATTATTACTTCCTGTAGAACAACTTCAAATGTGATCCTTCAGCTTTTGAATGTTTAAAGTCTACAGAGATATATTATTAAACAAAATGCACATAATTATTTGAATGAAAAATATGGTACGTTTAAAGAATAATTTACAACATCATCATGCAAGAAACTCCCCTACTAAGACATAAGGAAAAAATATCTGTTTTTACAGGATATATTCCTTGTTAAAAATATATCATGTCAAATCAGCTGTTTTGTCTAATCGCAACATGACACAATGGATGGGATTTTTACTTTGTGATGGGACTTTTATTTTGTGTTTCATTTTAAACATTTATTGTTTGAAAATGCATATCCTGCAAAACACATTCCTTGTTCATCAGGTTTCAACCACATTACATGCCGTGGAAGCCTCTGCGCTCGGCACGCTTGTTTCTTAATCTTTCCAAAGACAACGCTTCATGTGCTAAGAGTTTTATCTTGAATTCAATACTGGAAGTCTGCAGGAAGTAACTGAGTTTTGAATCTGTATTTTGATTAGGAATTTACTATTTTGTATGTTACACTTCAGACACGTATCCAAAGTCAAATGGATAAATATTTATTCTCAAAATCAACAGCTCTATATATTTCCTAGAAAGTAGTTTTAAACAACAGTAATATTATTTTTCTTAACCTTCTCAAACAGTGTTTGTAGGCAAAAAAAGAAAAATAGATCAGAAAGTACAAGATGCGATAAATTAATCCCTTTAGTATCAAGCATGTTATTCCTAAATAAAAGCTGAGTCACAGCATGAATAAGTACAATTCTGATCGCGTCTTTTGAACCTTAAAGAAGTTACATGGAAACTTTAGGCCAACATATTACTTTCTTTTACTTCTGATTAATATTTTTAACTTTTATTGTAAGTTTTGTATCATTTTCCTAAGGAGTTAAACTTTCTTAAAAAAATCTTCAGAAGATTAAGGATAAACTATTTTTAAGAAGCTAAACTAATATCTCTTACGAAGGATTTATACTTCAGATCCCATCCCTAAGAAAACTCTTAGATACGTATCTGTAGTGCATTACATGATTAAGTACGTAGCCAAAGAAATCTTACAATGTTCTTCACTACCTTTCTGGCTTTCAGGATAATCAAGCGTGTCTTTTTCAATACCCTGATAACTCTGCCATCCACTCATTTCAGGCATGAATCGTTTAAATGGATAGCCGGTGTTCAGGTTACAATCTTTAATTTTAGAATTTCGACTAATGAGACAGTAGTTGATTCCTTCCGCCTTAGAATGCATGTGCGTGCTTCGAATGAAGGAGAAGAAAGTCCCTACGATTGTCGAACAGCTGATGTCGAAACACAAGAGCTCCTTCCTACCAAAAGCATTTTATCACTCGTGTGCTGTTTCTCAGCATAGTTTTTGGACACCCTTAAACTTAGCACAATTGTTTTTTTTTTTTTTTTTTTTTTTTTTTTTGACTCTTTTCTTCTTTTTCTTCTTCTTTTTTATATATTTTTTTATTTTTTGTGCAGAACACCTCGTTTAAACCAGATTTCATCATTTCAGTTACAATAATGTTCCTCCCTTTTAAAACTGCACATTTCGCAGTGGACTCTGCAGCACCAAACGAATTTGCACTGACACTTTTCTTCCACTTCACGAATCACAGTTTGGTAGCCCCTGCCGCAGCACAACAATCTGCAGCCATCCATTCCGTAACTGGTGCTGTTGCATAATCGACCTCGAGTTCCCAAAACACCGATCCTGTTAAGAAAAGATTGAATTAGACAATCATATTCACTATAGAGCATTATTTAAATTGAAAACTGCACATCATAAACTAATTTAAAACAAAATGATAATCAGACGATTTAATTAAAAAATTATCACCTAAAATTAGGAATAGCTAAAACTATCAGTTAAGAGATAACATTTTCAGTAAAGATCGAACACGATTCTACATATGCAGATTATTTTGTTTATTTTTATATGTTCCTCGGGAAAGAAAAAATAATGCACATTCATTTAAAATTTAAACTGTAACTCAGTAATATGATTTTAAAATAAAATCACTACAGTGCAACTTTATTTTAACCGGGCGAAACACCTAATCATTTTCATTTTTCGCAAAACTTCCGGAAAAACTGCTTTAATAGTTAACCGATATATTAGTAATTTCAAAGAAACTGCATGAAGTAACTGCCCATAGTTAACTGTTTGAATCTCTGCATTGAGTTTGTTCTGCCGCAATTGAAAGTTTTTGCATAGTTATATAGCTCTTCTTTTCCGAAAGTCATCAAAATGTTTAATGCTGTTCATCCATCGCAAAATGCTCCGTTACGTAACTTTTCGTGGGCAGAAAGCAAATAGTTAGATTTAACCCTTTCAGCACTAGATTTTTAAGACGCGCCTCCCTGGAAAAAAATAGTCTACAGAAGGCTGTTTACAGGTGCTAGAAGAACTCCCTTACAATGTACTAAGAAGTTCCTACTTGAGTTGTTCCTGCTGCCAGATCGTTCCATAAACATTGTTCAAAAGCTTATATCCACAAGATGAGTGGGAAAACAGATGCGGACAAGCCACCACAACAGATGAGGACAAGCCACCACAACAGATGAGGACAAGCCGCCACATGGAACTTTTGGTGATGACTAGTAAAACGGTCTCTACTACCAATAAAATAGACTTCTACATATAGTAGGCGGCAAACGCCACCAACAGGGCAAAAAGGGTTAATTTAGTTGAATTTAGTTTCTCTGTTCCTTTTTCACACATTTTAAGCAGTTCTAAATCAGTAAGCTATTGTTAAATAATTGAGCTAAGGAATCTGATTTTTCTCATAAGGTCATTTTATTCAATTAATTTTGTTTTTCACCGCGAGGTTTTGCTTAACTCCAAGCGTCGTGAAGTTTTAGAGTTTCGCAGAAAGCTAGTTGAGAAGCTCTATATTAAGAGCCAAGTAGAACTTCGATATTAGATAAACGTAAACTTTGAGAAGAGGGAAATGAAATTATTTAACATGAATTCTCCTTACTTATTAACTATGAGCATTTATAACTTCATTTACTATTTAGAAAATAGCAGAAAAATTGAGAATACTGCTTTCTTGAAGAACACTACTCAAAACATCTTCAGATTTTTAATTTCTACAGATTTTTTAGAATAAATATTTTAATTATTTAATATTTGAATGTATTTTTCTAATTTAGCACAAAAGAAGCCTCTGATTTCAACAGACTTTAAGTTAATTGCATTGGATTGTATTAAATACTCAAGTTGCTTCGTTTCTACGTTTTTAGAAAAATTCAACAGTGCATACAACTGTGGACTTCGGTGGGCACAGCTCCTCCATAGTTTAAAATACCTTTTCTTGAATAAAACTGATAAAAAATCAAACAAGAAATAAAAAAAATCTAATTAAGTTTAAAATTTATCAGCAAATAAGTTACATTCATTGTTCAAAAGCATTTTAAACTATTTTAATAATTTGGGACAGTGCAAATTTTAACTTAAATTTTAGTCAGCAAACCTCACATGTTTTTTGGGAAATTACACTCGTAGCTTGCTATTGTAAAATTAAGAGAGAGGTATATCTATTAACTCTTCTTGTTTTACCACTTAAAATGTTTTTCCCTTTTTCTCCATCCGTGGAGAATGGAAGAAGCTTCAAGAAATTTTCTCACGAGTGATTTCGTGTCTAAACAATTTAACAAATGTGAGGGGGGGGGAGAAATACGATTAGAATTATTTTTATATTACAAAGCCTAATTTATTCAATTTTGTCAAGAGAAGGGATACATTTAGGGAGGACTTTCTCAGGGAAAGTGTCTCGTATTCATCTTCAAAAAAAGTGTTAATTTGGTAGATAAATAGACTGGTAGTAAGTTACGTTTTAATAACTTCAATTTAAAAATAAAATAAGACTGGAATATTTTGAAGATAAACCATACATATTTTTTATATTTAAAAATATAAAAACATTCATTTGCTCTTTAACTTTGAATTAAATGAATGTAAATGAGGCTTACATTCATTCAATTCATCCTGCACATATATTATTCCTATATGTTCCCTAAAATAATTTCCTTTAAAAGGAATTTATGTTATTTTTTTCTTAGTCCTTAAATCTAAGAACTACATTTTTGAAGTAATTAAAGCATTTATTATCGGATTTACCTCAGCATGTATCATTTCGCAGGTCCTGATTTAAATATAAGCATAAAGAAGCTGGAAAAATCATTTAACACTCATAGATCTCAGCTGCAAGTAATATAACACCTATCTTGCTTATGATACCACTGCAAATTTATTTAATTTTATTATTGTTGGCAAGTGTGCTGTTATCAGTTAAGAATCTTTAATCCCTGCTTTTCCCCTTCCAAATATTCATTTATGATTTGACCAAGTGACATTTAATATCCATATAACCTTCGATTTTTTTTCGTAATAAGGGAGTGTTAGCAATTAAAATGAAAATTTACGTTTCGTTGCGAAGACAGTAATCTGGCGACTCGTCAAGGTAAACGAGATCTTTTTTGCTGGGTCTCTTGATGTTCTTACGGACAGGCCGAAGCTTTGTCTTGTGTCGCCTCTCGACCGCCTTCACCAGGGTGGCCCCGTCGAATTTGAACGTCAGCAAGTCCCCAATCTCTCTGAAAGGCTTGAGCCGGCGCCAACAGACCCGCATAGAACATGAACCCGACACTCCGTGGCACTTGCACACCAGTTCCATCTTGGAACGCAGGCCCTGAAATCAATCGGAGGGCTGAATCACGACTCATAAAAACCCACCTGCGTCGCGGCCATTAAGTCACGGCCTTTATAAACTCGAAATTAATGATGGAATGACGTGGCCTACCCGACGTCCGGCTTCATTGTTGTGTATGTTCATGAGGCCTTCCGGGGAGCGCTGATCCTCGCCAGAGTCGACGAAGTCCTTGCAGAACCGGGCGCCAAATTTGATGTCGTCCGAGCAGCCGCCCCATTTCCATCGGCCGCCGTTGTCCCGCTTCCGGACCAGTTCGTCGCAGCGGCATTCTCCCAGTTCTCCCTTGCTACATGCCCTTGTCACGCTGTACGCAACCCCGGCTGACGAAATTGCGTATACATAGGCCTTCTCACGGCTGCCTGAAAACATAATTACAAATATTTACAAACAAAGAACCTTTTTTCGAGGTCCAGGTATACGTAAATATTGAACAACCTGTATTACATATCACACATAAATGTATTAAAATATTTTATAAAATATCAAGAGAAATGGAAAACAGTTTAGTAGAGTATTATCAAAAGCTTAACTCAAAAGAAAATATATGATTGACAAGCACTGTTCTGAAAGTATGGAGGGATGCTACCTTAAAAGGTAAAGGGGGGAAGGGAGAGAGAAAACATGCCGGAAATTTTTTGGATACAGGTTTCAGTATTTGACTAGGTTTTATTATTTAAGAAAGGTAATGTATAACAGATTTTACAATGAAATTTTCTGGTATTTTTTTCTTTTCCCACAAAATATTACAAACAATTAGCTCGCAAAGGTAGTGAAGGAAAAGAGAGATCGCTTTCTTTGAAGCATAAGATTAAATATTTGAGACTATATATATATATATATAAACCCTTCTGACTAAAAATAACTAAATATTATTTGTAAATAAATATATTTTTATGTATGCAATATATAAACAAAATGCATATAAGGGAATAAAACGGGAAAATACAAGTTATTAATATATATAATATCGCATGTTTTTTAATGTCAAAAGGAAGCTGAAAGGGAAATTTTCCCTTATTCATTTACAATTTTGAATAATATATAAAATTTTATATATAAACGTTAGAAGCTAGAAAGTGGGTGTTCTGCGAAGCTAGAGGTATTAGAGAACTGAGGCTCACAGAGGGAGGACCTTCAGGGAGCGTGGAGCGAAATGATATGATATGATATGAGGGAAAGACAGCGTCATGAACGGGATAGAGTGAAATTGCTTGGATAACATCTCAATTTAATAAAAAATAGATGTTAGAAAATCTTTTACTAATTTTTCAAATTTCGACTTTCTTAAATAGTATCTTAATTTATATTAGGAATTTTAACTTTTGCAAGGTACATTTTTGTGTTCACGTTTTGACTACGTTACCCTCAAAGCGCTTATTCCTGTACTTATCTTCACATCAGCTAAGCTAAGCAATTTCTTTCTCTTTCATTTTCTCGACTTTATTTTATTTCTTTTTTTTTTTACCTATCACAGACGTAATTTTAACTTATTTCGTATTTTTATAGTTTTTTAATTTCTTTTAATTGTAACTTATTTCCCTATGGGAATTATTTATTTTAAACACACGATTTTTATTATATTGTTTATTTCTAGAAGCAAATTTTTAGTTTCAATTCAGACTTTTACTTTTTCTTAAATTTCCTGCACATTCGGACTCATTTTATTAAATTGTTTAGTCGTTATTGACTCACTTCACAATTGGAATATTAATCTAAGTGCCGTATAATCTGACGAGGGGCACAATTGCTCTCCACCTAGACAGTGGTACAATTTGACATGAACTGCTCGCACAAATGACTTGAAATCCCATGTGGGCAGATACACAGAATCGTTTACTTGACGGAACACTCTGAGCCAGACGCCCTATAGCGGTCATAATACTAATTCAAAATCACTGCCATTTGCGACTTCGGTACAATTCTGCCTGGCTGATGCACAATGAAATATTCCCCCATTTAAGCATGTAATTTCATTGCATTCTAGAAAACATTCTGCAGAAAACGACGCGATAGGTAGCAGCTTGTATTGCCCTTCTAGGAGAAACAATAACTGTTTCAAAACTGTGGTATAAACGAATGAAAAACCTACAAGATTCAAATTACTTCACATTCAAAAGGACTATTATTGAAGAACTGTAGCAATAAACCGGCCATTGCTTGCTCTGAAGGTATTTTTTCCACTGCATTTATACGCATATACGTACGCACTCTGATGGAAATTAAAATCCCAGCACCAAAAAGAAATTAATTTAGAGGAATGCAATGTAGAAAAAGCATTTGTCTTGGTAATATATTTATTTGATTAAGGTTTTAAGGTTACAAGTGTGTGCCAGAACAGCCATCTCAAATCTGAAATTGGTGGTACATTAATAACCGCCGTAGCAGCCCCGTATGTCATTTTGCGGGATGGAGTTCCATGCCTGTTGCACTTGGCCGGTCAAATCAGCAATGGTCCTTGCTGAGTGTGTATGGCGCTGGATTTATTGTCTGAAATTAAATCACATACGTGCTCGATGGATGAACGTTCACCCAAATCTCGCTGGCCAGAGCAACATATCGACATTTCGTAGAGCACGCTGAGTGATAGCAGTGGTATGGAGACGAGATTTACCTTGTTGGAAAATGCATCTTGGAATATTGCTCAAGAATGGCAGCACAACTAGTGCAATCACAAGTCTGATGTACAAATTTTCTGGCAAGAATGTGCGGAAAAACGATTACAGTGCTCATGCTGTCATAGAAATTACTCCTCAGACCATGTAGGTCCAATATATATGCGCCTCAGACAACTTAGTTCCAAGCTGGCCTCCTTTTAACTAGCATACGGAAATCATTATCATCAAGACAGAATCGGCTGTCTTCTGAGAATACGACAGACCTCCACACCGCCCTCCACTGAGCTCTAGTTTGACACCACCGAAGTCGCAGATGGCAGTTATTTTGAATTAGCATTATGACCGCTATATGGCTTCTTGCTCAGAGTGTTCTGTCAAGTAAACGATTCGATTTGTTACAGTTTGCAGTGTCATTCTGGTGTCAGCAGAAGCTCGGATGCAGTACGATGCGCCGCGGACATGCTGCGATTACAGCGGTCTTTCTTTCCGAATGGTGACAAGTTGTGCGGAAGTACCCCGCTCTTCTTGAGACAGTACCTTCCCAACATGTAACCACTGCGCGTAACATTGCATGCACAGTGGATACATTCGTGTTAAGTCTTTCTGCAATATCGCGAAAAGAAAATTCACCTTATCGTATCCCTCGTTCAAATTCTGTAAGTTGCTAATACTGCTTTCTATGTCTTTTTATAGGCATTCTTGTCTCAAGCCTCGCTCACAGCGCCCAGTCTGGAAGATAAATAAAGTTCATATCGCGTATTTAAAGCTAATTCGATTTTGCATGTTCATATTTCTCTTTCAGTAAATTTGAATATATATCATCTTTCAAATGTGAAAAAACGCCTCCCAAATTTAATTTATTTAGCACAACTCCTTCTTGGTGTTGGGATTTCATTTTCCATCAACATATTTTTTTCAAAATGCCAATTTTCATTAGTAACTTCAATGTTTATTTTTATTTCCTTTCGATTAATAATGCATTTTGTTACGAAAAAAAGCTCGTTTATATAAAGTTACCCAACGAAACAGAGAAAGAAACGGGAAACGGTAAGTGACATTTTATCGCAAACCACAATTACAATTTCGAATATTTTAATTTTCTTGGAACCCAAATATAGAATTGAAACAAAATCTTTATCATGCCTACTAAATATCTCTTGGTTATATTTTTTTGACAAGGAACAACATCTTTTCAGTATAAAATAAGTTCCGCATAGGCATCTTCTATGTACTTTTCGACGACAGCAATTTAATTATTGATCATCATTTACTTTTTCCTAAAGGAAAACTGCAAAGACTACCTGATTCCTACATACTGTTGGTTCAGAATACCAATCTTAGACAAGATTTAAATGCGAAATAATCATGTTCACTGCAGAATGTTAGAATATTATCAAAATTTTAATTTTATCAAAATGAGGAGAGAAATTTTACCAAATTTTTTATATATCAAAATCTCTTTCCAGTCATAGAAAATACATTACAGAAGGTTAGATTATTTGAATAGGGCAAAGCGCATCAGGATTATCTGCTCAGGAGAAGGAATGCCTTCCTGGAGGAAGGTAAGTGAAACTGCTTCGTATGTACGTTACACATGGGGAAAATCACGAAATCCAGCCCGTTCGCCTACAGAAAGCAACTGTATTTGTCTGTGGATGCATCTTAACAAATTCGAAATTATTATAACCTGAATGCTTATTATCAACAATCACAATTAGGAATCATTCAACATTTTGTAATACCTGAAGTGTAGTCCGTCAGCAATTTAAGTAACATTATAAGGTATTTCCCCCTCCTTCCAGCATGCCTTCGTGGTGCAATAGTAGCACCGGCGCATATTCTAGAGGTCCACGTTCGAATCCCGGTGAGGGCCTTATACATTTCTTCTGTTTCCTGACATTGAAAAAAATTTAAATCACTCTACAGTGACTCCCGAACTAAAAGGTGGTGGAAACTAATTGGTAACCACCAGAATTTGGTGACTGGGTTCTCTAAAGCCCAGTCATCTTTTAAAAAGGGGACATATATAAGGTATTTTCTCCCTCTTTCTAGCCTTCGTGGTGTAATGGCAGCCCAACTCTGATTGTATTCGAGAGGTGTACGTTCGAGTCCCGGTGAAAGCATTGCTCGTTTTTAACATCTCCTGCTTCAAAATTACCTAATGAATCCCCAACATCATTATCAACCTTAAACTAATACAGATTATTTTAGCTAGAGCAAACACAGATACTATTACATTTATATTCTTGCGGTACTAACATTTAACCGAATTTATTCAGGAATCTTTAACTTAATATAAGATTTGTGTTGTTAATATGAATTTGTGAAATTTACATGATATCACATAATTTTATTTTATATATAGAAGGTGTTCACACATTTTTGTATCGAATTTGATTTTCTCCATGAATTTAAAATATTAATTTTAAAATACAAATGTGACTGGCAACAAATTGGAATAAGGTTTATCGTCTGCAGCGTTAAAAATATTCTTTTCTTTAATGTCGCTGAAAAATAAACAATGGATCGAAGGCTACATTTTTGCGCCGTCCGAAGAGAAATATTTGTATTCAATTAATTAAAAAAAAAGATGCGAAAAGCATGCTTTTAATACTTCTACGTGTAAAATAAGAGACATAATTAATATGAAAGGAAAGAAAAGTCATAGTTTAATTCTGACTGGGAAAAAGGCAAAAAATACATACCCAACAAAGGTACGTACCGCTCTTATTAAATCTCAAGTC